ATAGGGTAGGCGGGTATATAAAGAGGGGACAACGTGACGCGAGAGGAAGGTAATGTGTGTGTGAAGATAGTGAGTAATTGAACTGCAGTCAGAAGTATTATTGACGTTCGTTGTTATAGTGTTTGTTTAGCGCGATTGTTGAAGTTGAGTGTATCGGTAAAGCTATATTCGGAAAGAATAAACCAGTTTTATTAAGTAAAGACTTGTGTCGTTAAAATTTACGGAAGTTACGGAAAAAATCAATTAACAAACGGAGACGTAACAATACTATATTGTGCTTATGTACAAATTTGATTGCTAAACGGCTAATCTAACAAAGTAACTGTGTAAATGAACATATTTGCCCAAATTATTATTTATTATTGTGCAAAAAACACAGTTATTATTCATAAATATATACAAACATATTCTTTTCTAGTGTCTTCTGCTGACTTTATGATGTACTAATAAACTGAAGCAATTAAAACAGCACAAAAGTAATTCAATAGTCATTTCAGGGTAAAGGTTGTATTAGGTTTATCTCGTTTGTTTTAATCTAGGTTCAAAATAAGTTAGCCACATGTTTAGGGTATAATTCTTTTACGTTTTATTTGTATAAAATAGATTGTTTTAACGTGGGTACAAGATTGGTTAGCCACATGTTTAGGGTATAATTCTGTTATGTTTTATATGCGGAAACATCTGTTAGCTGACTTCTTACACAGATCTACATGTTTAGGGTATAATTCTGTTACGTTTTATATGTATAAAATAGATTGTTTTGACCTGGGTACAAGATTGTTAGCCACATGTTTAGGGTATAATTCTGTTATGTTTTATACGCGGAAACATCTGTTAGCTGACTTCTTGCACAGATCTACATGTTTAAGGTATAATTCTGTTATGTTTTCTATGTATCAAATAAATTGTTTTAACCTGGGTACAAGATTGGTTAGCCACATGTTTAGGGTATAATTCTGTTATGTTTTATATGTATAAAATAGATATGAAGATAGCTTTTATACGCGAAAACATCTGTTAGCTGACTTCTTGCACAGATCTACATGTTTAAGGTATAATTCTGTTATGTTTTCTATGTATCAAATAAATTGTTTTAACCTGGGTACAAGATTGGTTAGCCACATGTTTAGGGTATAATTCTGTTATGTTTTATATGTATAAAATAGATATGAAGATAGCTTTTATATGCAGAAACATCTGTTAGCTGAGTTCTTGTTTAAGGTATAATTCTGTTATTTTTTCTATGTATCAAATAGTTTGTCTTTATTTGGATACAAGATAAGTTAGCCACATGTTTAGGATATGATATTGTTATGTTTTCTATGTATAAAGTACAGTCTTACTCTGGTAAAACATGGTGTTACGACAGCGGAAGTCACGTGACGCTGAAAGCATGCGTGCTAGAGTTTCTCGAAGGATCATGAATTTGCCCTTTTTTTTTAATATATAAGCCTAGTGAGAAAAACCCAGCGGAGAGCAGATAGATGGAACAGATAGATAATTGAGTCAAGCAAACAGTAGGCACTGTAAGTAAAGTGTGTGATTTATAGCATGTGTTATAAACATTGTTAAGTTTAAAGTGACTGTGGAAATTCTGTGTATTACAAAAATTTGTATCATGGAAGAATAAACCGGGTTAATCAAGAAAGGATTTGTATCACTGAAGTTTCTCGGAAAGAATTTATACCGGAAATTAACAAACAAGCAGATACCTAACAAACTGGTGTCAGAGAGTGGGATAAAGAAACGAGAAGTGGCAAATAAAACTACAGCTTAGCAGATTTGATGGCAGCAATACAAGAACAGCAAAAGAAACAAGAAAAAAGGTTACAGCAGTTGTTGGAGGAAAAAAAAAAAACAAGAAGAGAGACAACAGCAGTGGCAAGAAAACCTGCAACAGCAAAATAAACAAGAGAGAAAAAAAAGAAACAAGAAGAACAAGAGAATAAACGAGAAGAGAGATTACAGTGGTTGTTGGAGGAAAAAGAAAATAAACAAGAAGAGAGGCTACAGCAGTAGTTGGAGGAGAAAGAAAATGAACAAGAAGAGAGACTACAACAGTGGCAAGAAAACCAGTACCAGAGGCAACTGGAACAAGAAAGGAAACAAGAAGTACAAATGGTAAAGATTAGTAAATTGCAAAGTGAATTAAATATGTTAAAGGATGATTTACTGTCTTTTATACACAGAGGATATATTAGCTATGGACCTAATCAGCC